AAATAGTGGTGGGATATGAATACCCAGCTGTTTTCCTGAGGTGGGATCTCTGCACCCGCCACAGGGCGCACAGACCATTTGCATGGCAAAAAGAAGGAATTTCAGAAAAAAAGATATTTTGCTGGAATCCAAACGTTTAGGCCTGCAATGTGATATAGTCAACCTAGGAAAGATCCCCAAGATGGAGGAGTGAAGTCACTGATTACTCGTGTTCATGTCTTGTGTAGCTGGGGGTTAGAATGCAACGTCTTTCAAGAGATCCTAACTTTAAAATAACCTACGGACCAGTTTTGGCTAGCAGGGGTAATGTCAAAAAAGGTCACTGAACTTAAGCCAGTCCTGGGAAATTCAGCATAATTCAAGAAAAAGCCTCAGAGGCACAAAACCCCCCAATGACCTCAGAATGTACTGGCCAGCCCAGGGACATACAACACTATCAGAAGACGACTTGGGGCAAGCGGCCAGTCTTTGAAAGCCAGGTTCTGCTGAGAGTTACAAGAATAGGAATTCAAAGTTTGGGGGACAAGGTAGTGGGAAACACATCATGAAAACTAGTTTTTATTTAGTCTTTGCTGAATTTTCCCCCCTTATTTTTTCAGGTTTTCACTGAAATCTCAAATGTTTGTAACTAAAAATGGAGGTTTTGTTTCAGAAATGTTCAGTTTGTGGAAAAGCCATTTTCTGTTTTAAAAAAGCAATGCTTCAATGGAAAATCCCCAGCCATCTCCAGTTCTGGGGCCTAAATTACACAGCATGTCTGCTTCTGCTTTGCACAAAAATAAGGCAGAGACCTAGAAGGATGACTATGATTTTCACAACACACATTTGGATTCAGAGTAACACCACTGGTGTCCAAGGAATTACTTCAGATTTGCAACAGCAAAAGCCAGAGTCAAATGGGAGATATGACATCTCCATACAATGGTAATCAGTCTTAATATGTCAATAAGATGCCAGCCTCCTTCTAGGGGAAGTAGCAGTGACATTTCCCTGTCTGTTGTGAAATAACGATTCACATACCAACCAATGCACACACGGCTGGTGTAAAGGAAAAGCAGTCTCTCGACTTCAATCTGATATGTTTCCCTCTGAAGTTCCTCCATCCAAGGATGGACTCTCCATCCGTGAAGGTTTTCAAGACCCAGGTAGACAAAGCCTTGACCGGGATGATCTAGTTGGGGATGGTCCTGCTTTGAGCAGGGGACTGGACCTTTTGAGTTCCCTTCCAACCCTTATTTTTTTTTTATAATTTATATAACTGACCTCCCCTCTACCAGGCAGAAGTATTATCCTGGCATAAGCCTTACTCACTTGAAGAGTTTGCAAAGAAAACCAGACTTTTGTAGAATCTCAGTATCCCCAAGCTGAGTGATGTGGAGCATCCAAGTCTGTTTTATTTATAGACATCATTGTCTTTTAGGAAGCAAGCTCTGCCCTTGTACAGCGTCCATTAGGGCTGTGCGAAATGGCACTGTTCCATTTCGACTTCAGTTTCGAGGTGAGGATGGAAGTGTTTTGTTTCAAATTTAATTTAGAGTCTAAACAGCTGTTCCATTGCGCTTCGTTGAAATAGTGAGGCTATTTCAACGTTTCTCCAGACCATTGGGCTAGGGATGGGAAGTCAGCCCAGCTGGGCTGAGTTCCCAACCCCATAATCAGGCTGGGGAAATGAATCTCAGCCTGACCATCACACTGGAGAAAGGAACTCAGCCCAGCTGGGCTGACTTCCCATCCCCAGCCCGATCGTAGGGCTGGGGAGGGGAACTGAACAATTGGGCTCAATTCCTTTCCCCAGCCCGATCACAGTGCTTGGGAGGGGAACTGAACCCAAGCTCACTTCCCTTCCCCTGTGTAGCCCTGGCTCTCCCCTGTCTCCCACAACCTCGCTGCTGGCTGCTTTGAAATGTTTCCACTAGCCTCATTTTGTTTCGAGGCTGTTTCGAAGCCCTTTGTTTTGATTCGATTTCGCTGTTTCGAGCTCGAAATGAATCGGAACAGCCAGCAAAATTTCCCACAGCCCTAGTGTCCATATGACAGAGTCCCAACTTCTCAGGAGCTATTGTAATTAAAAAAATAATGCCAACAGTCCACATCCCAGTTTAACTCCAACTCAACATCCTTCAGAACAGCAGGAGGAATTACCCAACATGCTACAGTTATCACTTCCTTGCTGCTAGGCCATGCCCCCTACCTGCATGGCTTCCAAAGCTTCCTTGAGCTGCTGCTTCTCAGGCCGATCTGACGAGTGGCTGAGAAGCTCCTGGAAGAAAACATTGCAGGACCGTGAGTGAAGTTTCACACACTACTGCCCCCATCATGTTACAAGCACATGCTACAAGCTATAAAGCAATTACTGCATGTCACTCTGAACATAGAGCAGCGGCACTCTGGCAGGCGGTCCTCGGCTATAACTAGAAGGGGAGGCACCAGCAAAAGCTGTTTGTTTTCAGTGGCTCCATGACACAGAGCTGGCGGGAGGAATTTCACACGTAATCAGATTATATGCAAGCTTATTTTATATTCATTAGCTGCCTCTCCTGGCTAACAAGTGTGGAATTACCCTAGGTCGCTGTACTTTAAAAGACGGCACAGATATTGTGTCGTGCTAAGCAGCTGTAGTAATTATTTTGTTCACAGGATAAAAAGCCCTTGCTCCACGCTTCAAAATGATGATTCCATTTTCTGCTGGAAAAGCCCAGGGACGCAACAGCG